GTCGAGCAGCTGCACCCTGAAATAAACTACCAGTAGAAGTAAACTAGTAGTGTTGACTTATGAAAACAAAATTATTAATGAATTTGATAATAACAAGCACTTTATATCCTAAAATAATCACACATATTTGAAAATTTTAAAAAAAACTCAAAGAAATGACATTAATTGACAAATTACTTAAAGTGTTTACACAATAGCTATGAAAATTGTTTATAATTCGCAAGTAAAGCAACAATAACAAAAGAAACAAATTTTTCATAAATTGAAACCTGTTCTGCCCAGGGGCAAATTACGATAGCATGTGATGCACCGTATTTTTGTTGTATACCAATTACAGCTTCTTCCTTATTCCGGAAACCTTTCTTCCTAAATGCATTTGGTTAATTATTTGTGATAATGCAAAAGTATTAAAAGTTATCTGTTTACTTCGCTGTTTTCTTCAATTAATGCTATTTCAATAAATGTCACTATATTCAAAAAATACAACCAGTTGTATATGTCGGAAAACCGAAATACTTATAATATGTCAAAATAATCGAAGTAATTTTGTATTAAATTTTGGATAAGATAAATATCTGTAGACTAAAGATTGTCTTATCTGAATATTTCAAGACAAATATAAAATTATTTCAGTTTCATACATCAAATGAGAAATAATTTATCCAAGACTTATTTTCCAACTATAGTTAAGCTTATGTGCATTGTATAGAATTTTTTTTAAATTGAATGTATACATCGTCTTAGTACAATTCTCTTTCCTCACTTAGTTAATTTACCCAAAAAAATTGTAATAATGTACTTCGAACCAGGATCATTCATTTCCATGTATTTACTCAGTTTACTTTTAACAATAGTAACGGTGAAGTGTGAACAGAATGACAGTTACAAATAAAAAAAATAATTCCCTTTTCTCACTTAGCTATTTAACCAAAATGATTATAATCGTTTGGTAGACTACTGATATCTCTTAGTGACGGAATATTTCCTATTATTATATTTGGAGGATATTTACAATGTTAGTAGGATCAGTAGGGATGGATTAGTTCTAATCAGGAAAAGTAAGGTTTTGTTTACTGATATTGATTTATTGATTTCATCTAGGATTCTTAAGAGATCAGATCTCCCTTAAAGCATCTAAATTTTCTATTTAAGTCATCGGAAAGCAAAAATAGAATACTCTTCAGTGTTCTAGAATATATCTTTAGAGTATATCATACTTAATATATTCTAAAAATGATATGAGGTACCATCCTGCACTATCTCAACTCTGTCAATGCTTTGAAACTACCACACTCATAATTATAACACTGATAGATAAATTAAATGAAATGAACAACATAACATATTATTCTAATTTTTAACTTATTACTCCGATTCCATAATCCTGAATTTCAAATCGAGGGATGACTGGGCTGGTTTAATAAAATCATTTCCCAGTTAAAATATTTGAATGTTCCACATTTTCGCAAATAAATCAAAGTGTTAAAGTAAAAAGATACCTTGCAAAATCTTTCGACACAAAGACAACATCTACAAGCGGTATAGCATTTTCAAGAGTTTCAAAATCTCGAACCTTCTCACATTCCAACGATAATTTTGGCTTTTCATTATTTTGTCTCGATACGAGAACATACTTTATCATTGTGATAAGATTTTCAAAATTTCTTCCTGGAAAAAAAGAGAAATGTATGATGAATATTACAAAGGGATAAAAGAACCATTTCTACAAAAAAATACTTGCATAATAGTTTAAAAAAAAAAAAAAAAAAAAACTGTGAACCTTCAAAATGTATCCAAGAAAAAATGCTAATATCTGGAAAAGCAAGTTGAAATTCGTCGCAATTCGGTTCTTGCAACTGTCCCCTGCAGTGATATTAAGAAACATATATGCCTTAGATGTCTGAAAAGCAAAAAATGCTAGCCTTAGCTATCAATAAGTAGTATTTAAATGAAAACTATATTTTAAATTTAAAAAAAAAAAAAAAAAAAAAACATGAATTTAAATGGATCAATCTCAAAATTGTTACTTCCCTTTTTTATTGGCATATATATATACCATGAGAATACCTGTAATGTAGAATTGTTCTGGAGCCGGTCCTTTCATTAACAATAACTGTTGATGTCGGCAAATCACCATTCAAACGATGAACACAATGTTTCGATGAAATACCAACTTTGGTTAATAATCTAAAATCTTCCAAACTTAGTCAAATAATTGGACAAATTAACAAAACACTTTAATAACTAATATGCTTACGAAGTAATAATAGAGCAATTGATTGGAATTGCTGAAAATAGTATCGAATAAGAATTGAGCTGATTTAAAACGATGACATTATTTGTAGCATTGCCTCCAGCTGACCAAATCTACAACAAATTAGATTTGCTCATTTTCTTTAGTGTAATTAATTTCAGTAGAATAGAAATAAGTTGTAGTAAGTAATTTAAACTATGCAAATAATTTATATGAATTTTATTCTAGGATTAGAAAAATAAAAGTTTAAGAATAGCTTAGAACATGAAGTACTTATATTGTATGATATTTAAAAAAAGCTAGGCTAGCAAATGAGAAATTTATTAGATGAATTGAATTAATTCTCTTTTTTCTAATAGCTTACTATATAATGATAAAAAAGAGAAAAAAATCTTAAGTTCATTAAGAAGAGTAAACGATTGTATCAAATTGTTTATCATTGTTTAGAGAACATTAAAATGAGTGGTTTTTTTTTTTTTTTTTTGCCGAGACAAATCAATACTCTAAATGTTGTCATCGTAACAAACTCAAATTATGACGAACAAAAAAAAAAAAAAAAATGTATATACCTTTTCATTCTAAATTACCTGTTCTAATACTCGAGAATCACTGTCCTCAATTGGAAAGCTTTCGGCATAATTGATGATATCAATACAAGTTAATCCAATGATAAGGATTTGTTTATCCATAGCAAAATTTCACACAAAGGAATCAATTTGATAAACAAAGAAAAAGAAAACATCTAACTGAAAAAAAAAATTAATGTTTTATAAATTAAATTTCAAAAAAAAAAAAACCTTTTAGCAATTTGCTGCTTTCTTCGCCATCAGAAAATTAACATCAAAAACAATTTTTGAAAATTATATTCCACGTAAATTTTTCATCGAATTAAAAACAAAAACTTCCATCAATATTTGATATGAAAATAGTTGCATCCCAATATTAGTTTGTTCTTTTCCTTTTCCATAAAAATTCAAATATAATAGTAAATTTTAAAAACAATTATCATTAATTATTAGTTTTCTTGTCTATCATTTCTTTTTCATTTATTATTATTTTATTATTATTATTATTTTATCATTTTTTTATGTCACAAAAAGTTTGAAAAATATTTTCCAAACAAACTACAAAAACATTTAATAGCAATTTGCTTCGCTTCTATGTCTTCTTGAAAACATATTTTAATGATAGTATCAGTGTATTATTAATTTGCCTAAGTTAATTTAAATTATATTGTATTTTGCTGATAACAAATTTGATAATAAATCGGTTTGCTAATATGGGCACACTCATATTTTTTAAGAAAATTTTGTAAGAAATCGCAAATTTTTACAAAAAAGCATATTTGCATAATTTTTTTCAATGCTTTACTTTCCAATGAATAACTAAAAAAAATGATAAATGTTGAAAAATTGAAATGTTTATTAATCAATACTTCGACAATTTTCAAATAACTTTATTTATAATAATAATGAAAGAATCTAATATTTATTTATAATAATAATGAAAGAATCTAATATTTATTTATAAAAATAATGAAAGAATCTAATATTTATTTATAATAATAATGAAAGAATCTAATATTTATTTATAATAATAATGAAAGAATCTAATATTTATTTATAAAAATAATGAAAGAATCTAATATTTATTTATAAAAATAATGAAAGAATCTAATATTTATTTATAAAAATAATGAAAGAATCTAATATTTATTTATAAAAATAATGAAAGAATCTAATATTTATTTATAAAAATAATGAAAGAATCTAATATTTATTTATAAAAATAATGAAAGAATCTAATATTTATTTATAATAATAATGAAAGAATCTAATATTTATTTATAATAATAATGAAAGAATCTAATATTTATTTATAATAATAATGAAAGAATCTAATATTTCATTATGAACAATGTTCCAATCAATTTTTTTGTGCGAAATTCAAAATTCTTTGTTAGTTAAATAGACAATCGGTTTCAAAAAAAAAATTATTCATAGTGAAGTAACAGACTAAAATAATTTTAATTAGAATGAAAAGAAAAAAAGGAAGAAGATTCTTATGACAAAATAAGCTAAATTCATAAACTAAATTCATATGACAAAATAGAATATTTAAATGTAAGATTAAATGAAATTAAATTATTAATCAGATATTACATTAATGAAATTAAATTATTAATCAGATATTACATTAATAAAATTAAATTATTAATCAGATATTACATTAATGAAATTAAATTATTAATCAGATATTACATTAATGAAATTAAATTATTAATCAGATATTACATTAATGAAATTAAATTATTAATCAGATATTACATTAAATATACTAGCCACATGGAAAATAACAATCATGCCATACCAAGCAGAGCAACATTACAGTATATTTAAAGCACAAAAAATTATTCATCACAACAAAAGTAATTTTTACAATGACAATTCGAGCCAAATCATGGACAGCTACAATATTCGATATGGAACACTTCAACTCCGAACTACTACAAAGTATGGACAATGGTTTAGAATACGCCATTATCGGAAAAGAAACTTAGGTTTGTCCCACAACAAACCGACAACACTTCCAATGCTACTTCAAATTCAATTCTCCTATACGTTTCAACACCTTAATAAGTAAGCTACCGCGTGTGAGCCACGTGGAAAAAGCAAAAGAAAGTCCATACCAAAACTTTCAATACTGCAGCAAAAAAAACAATAAGCGAAGAAATAAGGACCCGACCTCAACCACCTTCAAGGAAACGAAAAGCAACGTGAAGAACAATCACAACTGCTAAAAAAAAATACTGTGACAACGAAATCACAATAATCGAAATGATCCAATATGACAACATATTCGTTATGAGAAACGCTATCAAGAATTTAACAATTGAAATCATATATAACCAAAAGACAGGAGCAGCACGACAGATTTATATCTAATAATAGGAGACCCAGGAATAGGCAAAACAACATTCGTAAACAACCCTATCTAAAAATTATTATATCAAAACAGCAAACACAGAGAAATGGTGGAATGGTTATGAAGAACAAGAATTAGTTATTTTAGACGATTTCTACGGATGGCTACAGCCTACAGAAATATTTAATTTAGCAGACTCCAAATCATACTTAGTTCTAATTAAAGGTGGAATGGTAAAATTCATAAATAAAGCTATAGTAATAACAAGCAAACAAAATAACTGAGCAATGGTGGAAACGGCAAACAGTAATGAAATACGACAGGTGAGCATTCGACAGAAGAGTCACCATGACGTGGAAAAAATTAGCCTCATACTACAGAAGAATCATACTTCGGATATAATTTCAATTACAATAGAATTTATGTAACAAAAAATTATTTGCTTTGTAAAATTATTTGAAAATAAGATAAATTTAATTCTCAATTTGCTAAGTCCATATTAAATGATTAAACGACCGATTGATTATTTCTTATCATAGTTAACATTTTAATTAAAAAATTAAAAATGGAATAAAAAAAAAAAAGAGAATTCTATGCAAATTTTTGAAAAACTGTATAAAAGTATCAAAACAAACAAATAATTATCATTGAATTATTTCTTTTTTTTTTTTCCAGCAACTTTTATTATAGCATTCATTAACAAACAATAAGTGATTTTATTTGAAAAACGAATGATTTCATTTGTTGGCTGGCAGTATTTCATATTTGAACTAATTTTATTTATATTTATTTCTAATCCATTTTATGGTATGATTAATCTTAAAAACTTTGCGAATTAATTAATAGATTAGATTGAGATTTGATAAAAAAAAAATCTTAAAACTTGAATTTTCAAATAAAAAAAGTAATAATTAATCAAAACGATTCCTTACTGTCTCTTCTAAAATTTAAAATGCAAAATGAATCTGTTTAAATGTTTACGATTGTTTTATAGCTATTCAAATTATTTCTAGTAGCAATATGAAGTAAAAAAATGAGATGAAAAGTAGAAAATATTTAAATCATTACCTGATCCGGTATTTCGGATATTTCTTTACATAGTGAAGAAGTTGCATTTTGAAATTATTTGTATTACTTTATTGTTTATATCATATTAATCTTTCAAAACATTTAGATTTTCAAATTGATCTGCTTTAAAAGTTTATTTTCTGATCAATATTTTATTCAATTTTACTTGATTCATTCAAATTTTTATTATCTTCTCGAAAAAAAAACAATACAATGTTTTTTTTTTTTGTTGTTGTTGTTGTTGCTAAACAATTGGAAGGATAAATTAACTATTAGAAAAAAATAAACAACACATGTAATGATGATGATAATCATGATTATCAATCATGATTATGATAATGATGATAACGATAAGTTCAGAGATGAAATATGAAATGAAACAAATTAAACTTAAACTAAGTCATTGTGAAAATTTTTCATTTCTAAATTTCTATAATTAAATTATAAATTATAATTAAATGATAATTTTTCAGTACGATGTAATGAAGATTTCAAAGAATTATATGAAGCAGATTCATGGGGTACCAAATTTATTTTCATATTACCACCAAATAATATTAATAAATTTCGAACTTATTGTTATCTTGTTGGAATGAATAAAGAAGCAAATATTACGGTAAATATTGAATACAACAGTAAAAGTAATAATACGGAAATTATTGCAAGGAAGAAGGATAAATTTCATTTTAAAAATTTTTATAAAGTATGTTACTTTGATTTATTCTTTCTTTTTTTTTTTAATAAATTATTTTTGATTGAATAAATTATTTTTAATTGAACAAATTATTATTATTATTTTTCTTTCATTGAAGAAAGAAAAGAAAAAGAAAATTTGATGTCTTTAATAAATTATATATTACATAAAAATTTATATGAAACTTTGCTGGAGAAATAGAGAGAGAGGGAGAGAAAAGAAAAAAAGAAAAAGATTATATTGCAGTACGATTTTCATAACTTAGCAATGGATGACATTGTTCAAGAAGGATTACATATGTTGAAAGATAATCGAATATATGTCATTTCATCAGATAAAATATCAATTAATTGTCATATATTTGATCTCGAATCTGTTGTTGACCTTCTGACAGGTGGTTGTTTATTTTTTTTTTTTGTTTGTTTATTTTTTCATATTTTTAAATTTAATTGATGTTATGGATTTTCTTAATGTAACCCTAAACGTTGAATAATTTTTTTTTTCGTAAAAATTTTAATCAAATAATTTTGAAAAAATTTGATTGTGTTCTTTTTTTTCCAGTTGATTTATGATATTACGTGTTTTTACACGTTTCCGTGTTTTTTTACGTGTTGCATTTTAGTTTATCCAGTGGGAATGGGTGGTGATTATTATGGATTTTCATTACCTGGAAGTAGCACTGTTACAATATATTTGTTACCACTTGAAAGAACAAATGAAACAATATCTGAAACTCATCATATTTCAATAATAGAAAAGCAAAACAATAAATTAAAAACCATAAAACAAAATATGAAAGTTTGTTTAGTAAAAAAAAAATTTTTGTTAATAAAATAAAATAAATTATTTAATATAATCGAAAAAATTGATAAATAATACTAATTTAATATGATATTTAAATGTTTCAAATTCTCAAAAATTAGGAATAAAATAATAGTTCCATTTTGTAAATAAAATATTTTAATTATTATTTTTTTCTTTTTTATTATTATCAATGCATTTTTGCATTTAAGAAGATTGCTGTTTTAAAGTTTAATGAAATTTAATTTTGCTAATTCGAGAATAGTTGTAAATAAGTGTAATTAAATAAAATATGAATTTTATTTTTATAGGCAGGTTCATTATGGCAATTCACAGCATATGTGGAAAAAACGATATCAGTATGGATTCGTGATCAATTGAGTAATACTAATACTACAAAAATGACAGGTCAAAGGGCATGGAATAATGAAATAGCTCGATTGATGGTTATTGTTTCGATTCGAAATGTTTCGATACAAGGAGTAGCAAAAAAAGATTTTGGATGTTTTATGCCAACTCCAATGATTGTTGATCGTTTGTTTCTTTTTTTTTTTTCTTTTAAACTCTCATTGAAATATATGTTAAAATAGTATTGTAGTTTAAATTAAAACAAAATTGCTTTATAAATTTTGAATTTCAAGAAATAATCAAAATTTAAATTAAAAAAAAAATTCTCAATTGTAGATAGATAATTGAACATTTTAAATTTTTGAAAGTTACAGGATGATAAATTTTCATTTACTATTTTCGATTTACAGGTAAATGATGAAAATAAAGAAATAATTAAATTGTCCAATTTACAGGTAAATGATAAAAATAAAGAAATAATTAATTTGCAGGATGTGCAAGACTAACTATTCCAGCATATTATCCAATGAATAAAGCTTTTGCAAATAATATTTTATTGACAGCGCCATCAAATGATTGTCCAATGGAAAACGTTGATATTATATTTGCTAAAGTAGATTTATTACCAATGAAATGGAATAAATCACCTGAACCAATTAATGTTAATGAAAAATTTTGTAAGAAATCGCTTGCCATCAAATCGACGTTCGTTTCATCACTTTTTTTTTTCATTTAAATTAAATTCATTTCTTTTTAATATTTCCATTTAAATTAAATTCATTCCTTTAATATTTCTATTTAAATCAAATTCATTTCTTCTTAATATTTCTATTTTAATTAAATTCATTTCTTAATTTTTTCATTGTAATTAAATTTATTTCTTCTTAATATTTCCATTTAAACTAAATTCGTCTCCTAACTTTTTCATTTAAATTAAATTCATCTCTTAATTTTTTTATTTTAATTAAACTATTTTCTTAACTTTTCCACTTAAATTAAAATGTTGAATTTGTCCAGCTATTATTATAGCTAACAATTTTATTTCTTTTTTTTTTGCAATATTAATTTTAAATTTATTATTTTAAAACTTTAATCTTTTCCTAGAATGAGCTAAATAAACTAATTGAAATTTGAGGACAACAAGCATGAATATAATAAATTATGGTGGAAATAAAGGAATATTTATTCATGAGATTCCGGCATACTCTCAATGGATCAATGATGATATATTTCCGGTTATCGTACCAGAAGGTTCACATGCCAGTTTACATGTATGCTTTTTCATTTTTGTAATAAATTATCAAATTATTACCTTTTCGCCTTTTGCTGATTTGGTGACAAAATCTTTTACATTTATTCACGAACAAACGGATAGGGTACAAGCGTAAACACACGTACGCATCTATAAATAGACGCAAATGTGAATCGTTTTTGAAATTTCAGGTGATACTGTCAAATTATAGCGAAAAAGCAGTAAGGAAAAATGTTCAAAATGGTAACGAAGAATTTAGTAATTTTCGTTTTTCCTATTCCGTCACGTCATTAGGCCCTGGTTTTTGGCGTATGCGTGCACAACACGGACGGAAACGTCGATACGTGCCCATAGTTATCATTGAATTCAATCATACTTCTATTGGTTATATTGCTGCTATTAGTCGTATGTGTCACATTTACATTCACTTTTTTTTTTTTTTTTAATTTCTTTTTTGAAAATTGTTTGATAACAAAAGAATGTAATGTGAGGATTTTTTGGCGCAAAAGTGCAATCTATTTAATTTCCTTTTTAAGTATCATATTCAAATTCCTTACAGTTTCGATCGATTAGCATAATTTAAAATAAAATTCTAACTAATCCGTAAATTTGAAATTTTAAGGTTCTAAATTTTTTAATCTTTTTTGAATTTACTTATTTCATAACAAAAGAATGTAATGTGAGGATTTTTTGGCGCAAAAATGCATTCTGCTTGATTTCCTTTTTAAGTATCATATTCAAATTCCTTACCGTTTTGATCATTTATCATAATTCAATCCGTTAATTTGAACGTTAATTTCAAATTTTTGCTGGATTATCTTTTTTTCTGAAAATTTAAAGTTAAAGAATTAAATAGTCTAAGAATATTGATGATGAAAAATTATGATTTATTATAAAAGAGAATAAGTTAAAGTAATAACTTTAATATTTTATCTAAGGTTACTATTTAGTTGATTGTTACTTATACTTTATTATTATTTCATTGCTTTTCTCTAACATTTTTATCTCAAAAATATTAAAAAATTGATTAATTTTCAGTTCCAAGAATTTCACCACCAATGTTTACAAAATATTCTCATATCAGTAAGTATCAATATTTCATCCAAGATGATGTTTATATTAAAAAAATGAAAGAAATTAGAAGTATTAATTTCTTGATATTATTCTGTTTAAATTCTGATACTTTC